CTCCTACTGTTGGTCTCTCTGCCAGGAATGCCCTTCTCCCACGTTGCCCCACATCCATCCCTGACCCCCCTTCATGGGGCCCAGCCCGATTGCCCTCTCCTCCAGGCAGTCTCTCTGCCTCCCCTCCACCACCTCCCCAGTGAGCTCACTCACCTGAGCCATGGCTCAGAACCAGGCTCTCTCTTTTGCCTTGGTCTCAGCATCCGGCCAGCTGGCTTTGGGCACCTCCCTTACCGCTCTCTGCCCTTCAGTTCATACCCGTGTACATGCTCAGACTGGCTGCTGCTGAATGTGTGAGTGAACTGGATGAAAGAAGGCATGAATGGATGGAGGCATGGGTGGATGGAGGAATGGACAGGAGGGCATGCATTGCGGTTGCCTGGTTACTGCCACACCACCTCCCTGCAGACCGCCCGTCTATGGCATTGTTTCCTTCTGTTTGTTCCATTCATTGACTCATTAAATATTTATTGAGCACCTACTCTATGCCAGGCACTGTGTTAGAGGCTGAGGATGTAGCTGTAAGCAAATCAAAGTCTCTGCCCCCTTGGAGTTTGTGTGTGTGTATGTGTGTGTGTAAGAAGACATTCATAATCCAATCATCTCACATGTAAATATACAATTACCAATGGGAGCAGATTCCACAGAGGAAAGGTAACGGGGACTACCACATTTAACAGGAACCTCATTAGGACTGGGTGGGCCAGGGAGGGGAGTTCCCAGAGAAAGGGCTTTTGAGCTAAAAGGTAAAGGATGACAGAGGCATACTGGGGCCCAAGTAGTAGAAGGTGCAAAGCCACATTCAGGGGCCTGAAAATTCACATAGCACATGAGGGGAAGGAGCGGCTCACCAAGGGTCTTAAGAAATTTAGATTTTAGCTCCAGAGCAATGGGAGGGCATTGAAGGCTTTTTAGCAAGGAGATATGATCACACTTGTGTTTTGAAGAAGATCATGGGCTTGAGACTTAAAGGACAAACTGCACAAGTGCAGGACCAGAAAAGGGGACCCAAGTGGACTTGGTGGTGGTATAGATCAGGGAGGCCGTTATGGGATGGAGGGGAAGCAACAGATCTGAATTATTTAAGAAATAAAGTAGACCAGGCTTGGTGATGGGTCAGACGTAAGGAATGAGGGGGGGCAATATCAGGCATGACCCCTGATTTTTAAGGGATGTTTATTGATCACTTACTGTTCCAGCACTTTATGGGCATTACCTTGCTTACTCCTCACAATAACCCCATAAGATAAGTTACCATCATCCCCCTTCATAATCCCATTTCACTTTGATCACAATTGGGCAGGAAGGAGGGGGGTGACTGGACACAGTGGGGTTTGTCCCAAGCTTTGTTCCTTTGGGGAAACAGCCTTGGCAGATGAAAAGAATAGAGAAGGAAAAAGGGGAGGTAGGGTGCATGTACTGAGCTGATTCTGAGTCACCGAGAATAATGATAGATAACATTTTTAGCACTTTTACTGTGTGCCAGGCACGGTGCCATTCAATTAGCTAATAATAAGAGGCAACACTTAGTTCCAGGGCATTTTATATCAATGATCTGACTGAAATCTTACAGCAGCTCTCTTTAAAATTTCTATTACAGAAGAAGGTAAAGTGGCGAGGAGAGGCTGAGGGACTTGCCCAAGGTCACACAGCTAGCTAGTAGCAGATGTGGAATTCAAACAGGCTGTGCAGAAAGCGGGGAAGGAGAATGAGCAAAGAGGGGCTTAGCAGCTGCTGGCAAGGAAGGAAAGGCCTGCATTTGGGTCTAAGGATGAGCTGTGTCCCTCCCCCAAATGCCTCCTGACACTGTTTACCCCAGGCCTGGCTGTCTACTTACAGCCTGACCTCCCGTGAAAGTTACGAACACACATGTGCATACGCACTGACAACTACCCACACCTACGCCCTCCCTGCCAGGGGCCTGGGGCCTGAACCTGGCTCCTGCCCTGCCTCCATCCTGCCTGCCTGCTGGTGCCGCAGGCAGAGCCCGCTGTACATCATGTTGACAGTAGAAATTACATCCGAGCTGCTGTTTTACACCTCGCCCTGTCAGAACTCACCGCAGCCCAGTGATCAGGACAAATTGAATACCATCCTGGCCGTGTCAATATTTATTCCATTTTACAAACGCGGCCGAATTGGGGGCAGGGCCCTGCCGCGAGGCCAGCTGAGCAGAGTCCCGGGAGGTCCTTCTCCCTCTCACTCCTGAGTGGCCCCCCCTCCCCTTTCTTAACTTTGGTAACCAGTTAAAACTGTGAAATGCAACATTCATACTGAAAAGTGCACGAAACATAAATGAGGAATTTAACAAATAATTAGAAAATGAACCCTGTGGATCGCCCTTTGATCAAAACACTACAAACGGTCCCCTCTTCAGAAGCCCCCAACTGTGCTCCTTTTTGACTATAATGCACTGCTTCCCTTCTCCCAGACTTTTGTGACAACCAGACCCTTGCCTTTTATACAGTTTACCACATCATTATGCATTCCAATAGTCTTAGGTTTGTCTTTGAACTTGAGATAGATGGAATCATCCTGTACACACTCTTCTATATCCTGTTAGCTTTGTTTTTTAAGATTCATTTTTATTCTTGCGTGTTTCTTTTCACTGCTGTATAGTACTCCATCGTGTGAATATCCATTCTAGTCATTCCCCCTTTCCCTCTGCTTTCCTCCTTTCTCCTGCTCTTTCTTCTAGTCTGTCTCTTCCGACCCTTCTATCTTCTTCTCCCCATTTTGCCTCCTTGGTTGTCTGTCTCTCACTGTTCTGTCTGCTATATCTGTTGATATCATGCATCCCTGATCCCAGTTCCTCCATCCTACCAGGGGCCTGGATACTTCCTCTGGTATCAGTTCTTGGAATGTGTGGCTTAGGCCAGAGGGAAATGCCCACAGACCTGATTCTGTTAAAGTTTATCTGTTGTAAAGGATAGTCAGGAGCAGAGACTGAGACCCACAGCACCATCCTTTGCCCTCTGTGCATCAGCTTTCCTTCTAGCAAACTTGGGGGAGGAGTTCTCACCCATCACCTTCACTCAGACAGTAAAACACTGCCATCTGGGCTGGGGTGAGGACCGAGGTGACGGGCAAGATGTACTAGTAAGATGTATAGGTGGGTTGGGATGGGGGTATTGGAACCAAGGGAGTCAAGGGTGAAGCCCCACCCTCAGCCCTGTTCACTCAAGTCCTGTTGGGGCACACATCCTGTGCCTAGCATCGGCTCCCACCCAGGCCAAAGCAGAGGAGACCAGCAGGCTCCGGGGGGAGGTGTCCTCCTAGAGTGGAGGGCCCTCCAAGGAGTCATTAAAGAGCCTGCCTGGATACCCCAGGAGTGTGTGTGACACATCTCATTTCCATCCCTTCTCTGTCTTGGAGCTGCACTGATGATGCACATATTCAGGGTAGTTAATTTTTACTGCAGCCCGAGCAGATGACATTAAGGGATCTGTCCCTCTGCGGCGCAGGCAGGAGGAAGCCCTCCAGGATGGAAGGCAAGTGGACTGGGTTGGAGGCTGGCTATGCTCCCGCTGTGCTGGGTGACCTTGGGCAAGACCCCACCCTCTCCGGGTTTCGGTACAATGGAAGGTCAAACTGTGGTTCCCAGGGCTCGTCCGATAACCTGTTGGAAGCAGGGTCATGTTGGCAGTATAATAAGAGGGACTCTTTCAAAATCCATATCCCCAGGTCCCCAGGGCATCTGATTCACTAACAGTGACAATAATACTAATAGGCAACATTTATAGGGTGCTTTCTACATGCCAGGATGTGGGTATCTGATGAACTAAAAGTAAGAAGCTGTGCTTGTTGACTGCTATATAAGCACTTTACCTGAGTTACCCTGTTTAATTTGTGCCAGTCTGTTTTAGTTATTATTATCATTTTACAGATGATGACATTGGGGCACAGAAAGGTGAAGTAACTTGCCCAAACTCATAGCCAGGAGGTGGGGATCTAGGGCTTGATGTAAGAACTTCTGGGCCCAGAGTGTGTCCTAGGTCTAGGACAGCCCACTCTCAGATTCTGAAGCTGATTTTGGAGCCCCTGGACCATGTGGTCAGGATGTTGTGTAACAAAGCATCATGTACCTACTATGAGCGACATGTTTTCACAGTGGTTCATCAAGATGTGTGTGAAGGGCTCATCTAACACACAGTGAGGGCCAGCTCTTATTGTTACTTACGCAAGCCTCACCCTATCCTCCTGAGATGGGAACTGGTCCCTCTAGTTACTGATGAAAAACAGAAGCACTTAAGAAGAGGTGGTTTGCTCAAGATCATGTGGCTAGGATACAGCTCCAAAGCTGCGAGCTTTCATCCTAGCACACTGCCTCCATGCCCTACTCTCTCCCCTGTACCTTGTAACTCTCCGGGCCTCAGTCTTCCCGTCTGTAAAATGGAGGACCTGGGCTAGTGGGCTGGGAGTCTGGCGTTCCAGCTTTTGCCCCTAACACCAAATGTTCTTGAGTAAGTTTCCTGCTTCTTTGGGCCTCAGTCTCCCCATCTGGAAAAGGAGGCTCTGTGATCCTCTTCCAACACTACACACAAAAGCTGTTCTACAACAACCCTGCTGGTGAGAGAAAGCCTTAGGTCTGATTACCTGGAAATAGGCTCCAGGGTAGAGATGTGCCTGTGGGAGGTTTACTGGGGAGAGCTGAAGGGGACACGGGAGAAGGGGTGAGAGAGGCAAGGCTGAGCAGAGGGAGAACTTGAACCATGAGGCTGTCTCAACAGAGGCCTCAGCTGCTTCCATGTGGTGCTCCGGAGCTGGGGTGCTCCGGGTTGAGTCAGGTGGTCCCGCCTTTGAATCCATGCACCTATCAGATACTGGACATGAGTTGTGCCCTCCCCTCCAGCGGGCATGACCTTGAGCTGGATAGCTCCCCTTGGTTGAGGGCAATGCCAGAGAAGGCGCTCAGCTAAGTGCTGCTGGCAGCCACGGTCACAGCTGTCCTGGGCGGTACGTTCCGCTACATAAAATTGGCTGAAAAATCGGGGCCTGACCTCGGCTCTGGAGACGACAGCGGACAAGACGTGGCCTGAGCCCCGGGCTTAGCCGGCATGGCCGGCCCTGCTAGGAGCCCTGTGCCCCCCGGCCTGCCGCCCTCCGCTGTGATCACAGCGGGATCAGAGCCCCAGATCTCGCTTAAAGCCTTGGCTGCCACCGCCTGCCTTGCGGCTCGTCTCCCGCGGCTCCCTGAGGTCCCAGCGATTATGCCACTGAAAATTCCGCTTTCATCTTGTCAACTTCGCAGTAAATTACAGGCCCGGAGAGGCGTAGGCCTCCTCCTTAAACAAGATTCAATTCCACTTAGCTGCCCCCCTTCCCACCCCACACATGGGTTCCTTCCCTCCTACCAACCCGGGCTCAGGATTTATGGCCTCCCCTTGCAGGCAGCTGGTAACCATGGCAAGCTCCTTAGGGAGGCTTCGGGCTGGAGCCTCGTCAGCCCCAGACTGTAGTGCGGCCGCTTCCTCCTAGGATGGAAGAGGAGAGGCCAAGACAGCAGAATGGGGCTTCTGGAGGCCAAGGCGGAGCAATGACAGGAACACCGGCAATAAAGGAGCACGTCCACGCTATCCCATCTATCCTCACACTATCTGTGATGCGAGACGCAACCATCGCCCCCATTTGATAGCTGGGCAAACTGGGGCCAGAGAGCATGGGGTCACTTACTGTGGAAGCAGGTGACTCCAGGGCTGCGGCACTTACTTAAGCACCACGGTCACTGCCTCTTCCTGCAACAGCCGCTCCTGGAGGGCTGTAGCGTCTGAGAGGGTTTCATGCCCTCTAAGACCTTAGCCCACCCAGAGGGCTAAGGTGGTCCAGTGGCTAAGACTCCTTGGTCCCAATGCAGGGGGCATGGGTTCGATCCCTGGTCAGGGAGCTAGATCCATCGTGCCACAACTAAAAGATTGTGCATGCTGCAATAAAGAGCGAAGATCCTGGGTGCCGCAACTAAGGCCTAGCGCAGCCAAATAAATAAATAAAAGAAGACAAGAAGACCTTAGCCCACCATCTGATGTCTGAATCCTCTCTTAGATCGCAGTCTCTGCTCACATTCCCCTGGTGATGGGGAGATCGCTGCCTCTCTGAAGGACCCATTATCTCTTTAATGATTAGACACGGTCTCCAAATTATTGATCAAGCCCTGTCACCTCTCGAAAGCATTGCTTTGGCATTTGAGTTTCTCTGTGATCCAGCTGCTCACTCCCTTCTCAATACTCACCTTTTGTGGCTCACCAATATGGTAGGCTTCCTGGGGGATGGGAGGGGTTTCTCACTGGGTCTTTCTATTCCCCCCGGCCCCTTATAATTACTATCCCCCTTTTATTCCTATCCTCGCATATCGGAGCTAGAAATCTACTACTTTCCTAATTTTCCCGATGGAGAGAGGCTCAGAGAGAGTGAATTTCTCCTGTACACAGTGGGAGCTGATAATGGACCCAAATCTTCTGCCAATGAAAATAATAAATAGTAATAAAATAGCCGACATCCACTGAGGGCCTGATACCACCATCCTAAGCACCTCGTGTGTAATGCACTTTCTCAAGCATCCCTCCGAGGCAGGCCCTATTTCTATTGTCATTTTGCGGAGGGGACAAGGCACAGAGCAGTCAGGTGACTTCCCCAAGGTCGCACAGGTGGTCTGCCATCAGAGCCATGCTTCTCACCAGGCGCTCCCCTGCTCCACTCCACCTGGCCTGTTTGCGAACAGTTAGCAGACAGAAGACGCCAAGAGGAGCCAGCATACCAAGGAGAAGTACAGGTGGCTTCTTTGTCAGGGAAAGTGACCTGTCACTTGCGCTATCAGGCCTGGGGCCTGAAATCAACACTCCGCCTGCCCCAGCCTGCCCATTCCCCGTCGTCACTTCCCACCTCCTCTGCAGTTTCGCATTCACATTCCCAGGGACCTCCAGCCATGCCGCTTCTTCCTACCAGACTGTCAACCCCAAGCCCCTGGAAGCAAGGCCACGATATGACACATCTCTGAGCCTAACCTGCGGACCACACATAGTAGGTGCTCAATAAAGGCTCGCTTTTCTCTAAGGAGGGCTTCCCTGGTGGCTCAGACCGTAAAGAATCTGCCTGCAATGCAGGACACCCGAGGTTCAATCCCTGGGTCGGGAAGATGCCCTGGAGAAGGGAATGGCTACCCACTCCAGTATTCTTGCCTGGAGAATCCCCTGGACAGAGGAGCCTGGAGGGCTGCAGTCTATGGGGGTCATAAAGAGCCCAACATGACTGAAAGACTAACAGTTTTCTCTAAGGAAGTCACATGGGACTTTTTGTTGCAGGTGACATTTGAATTGCTCCTTTAAGGATAAGAAGGGGTTCACCATTTAGAACAAAGGAGAAGGGGAGTGCCTGGCAGAAGGAACTACTTGGGCAGTGTCCTAGAGGAAGGAACATTCAGGGTGCGGGGCAGGGGTGGGACTGTGAGGTGAAGAACAGGATAGAAAAGTAAGCTGTGGCCAGGCTGAGCATCTTGGCAAGGGATCAGGTCTTTTTAAAATTTTTCATTTATTTTTGGCTGCACTGGGCCCTCATCTCTGTGCGTGGGCTTTCTCTAGTTGGGGCAAGCAGGGGATACTCTCTGATTGCGCTGCATGGGCTTCTCACTGCGGTGGCTTCTCCAGGGAGCACCAGGCTCAGTGGTCGTGGCACACAGGCTTAGCTGCCTCTCAGCATGTGGAATCTTCCCGGACCAGGGATCGAACCCATGTCGCCACATTGAACCCACATTGGCAGGTGGGTTCTTAACCACTGGACCACCAGGGAAGTCCAAGTGGCTGGGTCTTAACTTAGAGGCACTCCTTATGACCTCGTTGTGCCTGCAACAGATGGGAGAAGGGAACCGGGAAAGACTATTTCTCACAAGTGCTACATCCCCAGGTTGGGACGGCTGGGGCTGCAAGCTGCAAACCAGTTTGGCCAAATCACCCTCCTGATTGTGAGCAGGGCGTCCTCTGGGGTGACAGATAGGCAGCACCGATGCCAGGCCTTGAAGGAGGTTTCACTTTCTTCTCTCTCCTGACAAGTGATGGAGCTGGCAGATAGGGCATCGTCTTCCCTAATCTCCTGTCTCCGGCTGGAACAAGAAAGCAAGCCAAGCTCGGCACCTTGTTCAAAACTTAATCCTCTCTTTCCTGAGCGTAAAGCTGTAGATTCGAGACATGGATTCCCCAGCCCTTTCTCTAGGGGACACTGGAACAACTGAGGAAAACAGAGCTCCCACAGAGGGCTGTATTGTAGAGGCTGCACGGGGGAGAGGTGAGACCTAAGTCTGAGTTCATCTTGGTGGAGAAAGTAGCAGTTGGTGTAGGGGGAGTGGATTGGGGATTGGACCTGGCCTCCCAACTCTGTGGCTGCCAGCTTTGTGACCTTGGGCAGGTTTTTTCACTTCTCTGAGCCTCAGTGTTCTCCTTTGTAGAATAGGGAAAATAAATCCTCCCAGGTTTCGCTGTGAGACTCACATAGATGAATATCTAAGTAATCCTCCGGAAAGAGTTAAGTGCTATAACCAGGTGAGGTTTGATGATTATTATCCATACACGAGAGTGGATCAGAGCTTCGAGAGTGAAAGATAATAATAGTGGCTGCTATCTGTAGAGTTTTAACTACCTGCCATTACTACCCCAGGCTGAGCCCATTATAAGCATCCATTCATGGAATTCTCACCCCACTAGCCCCAGAGGAAGGCACTATTATTATCCCCATTTTATAGATGAGGGAACACATCTCCTCTCTCCTCTTTCTTGCTCTTTACAACAGAGAAAATGTCTCTCTTGTCTGAGGACAGGTCCCTTATCTGGGTTCTGAAGCCCACTCACATCTTCCTGGCATCTGAGAAAACTTACTCTGCAAATTCCCCCTTCTTCTGCCTATCTTCTCCGGTCTCTGATGGACTCCTGGCATTTACACGTGCTCAAGAAGATTCCTTTCTCAGTCATGTCCAACTCTTTGTGACCCCATGGACGGTAGCCTGCCAGGCTCCTCTGTCCATGAAATTCTCCAGACAGGGATACTGGAGTGGGTGGCCATGCCCTTCTCCAGGGGATCTTCCCAACCCAGGAACTGAACCTGGGTCTCCTGCCTTGCAGGCAGATTCTTTACCATCTGAGTCACCAGGGAACCCCCTTTCAAGAAGATCCCATCCTAAAATAAACAAACAAAAATAGGCACACCCCTCCTGACACCTCTCAGCCCTTTCCCTTAAGAGCAGCACTTCTCTGCAGGGGAGGGGGGGTATCCTCACAATTCCTTTACTCACCTCCCACTCTACTCTTAAGCCAGGGTCATCGGGCTTTTGTTTCCAGCACTGCATTGAGACAGCTCACAGAGGTCACCACTGACCTCCATCTTGCTAAATCCAATGGATGTTTTCCATGCCTCATTTTACTTGACTTTGCAACGGCATTTGAAACATGAAACTAAGCAATTGGGTTCCTTCCCACCTCTCTAGCAATACTTGCTGCATCTCCTTTGCAGGTTTATCATCCTCTATGCCACTTTCAATCTCCTCAGTCTCTTCCTGGGTGCTCTCAGCCATGCCCATGGCTCCAATTACCATCAATGCTATGATGACTCCCAGGCTTAGTTTTGCACTTCCTCCTGAAGAAGTCCAGAGATAAAGATACAATAGCTTCTCAACACTTCCACTTAGATGCCTCTGAGAGATCTCAAATCTAACATGTGAAAAGCCAAACATATGTTCTTCTTCCTCCATACTGGCCCGTCTCCTGGGTGCTCCATGTCAGTGAATGGCATCCATATCCGTCAAGTGGTCCAAGCCGGAAGGCTGGAAGTCATACTTAACAACTCTCATCTCTGCATCCAATCTATTATTAAGTCTGGTTCACTTTACTCCATAAATAACTCTCTACGTTGACACTTTGCATAATCTTTATCACCACCCTAATTCAAACCAGGGATTCTAGATGATTCTTAGATTCTTGGCCTAAAACTGGATGGTGTGACACCGTGATTGAGCAAATGAAGGAAGGGTTGGCGGTAAGAAGCAAGAGTTTCTATTTAGGTATGTTATGTTTGAGACATTCACAAGATATGTTAGAGGAGATACACAGCAGACAGTTGGATGGAACAGTCTGGACTCCGAAGAGAAGGGATATAAATCTGAGGTTTATCAGCATGTAGGTGATATTTAATGCTGAGGAAATGAATGCAATCACCTGGGGTGAGATAGAGAGCAGACCCAGAAATGGTCCCTGAGGCCCGCCAACATTAGAGATAAAACAGAGGAGGAAAAGGAAGGAGAAAGACTGAGAAGCTCCCAGTAAGGCTGGAGGCCATTCAAGAGACTGGTGTCATGGAAACCAAGAACGGTAACTAGAGGTCAACATGTGGAAAGCTGCTGAGAGGCAAAGTAAGCTGAGGAGGAGAAGTGACTCCAGTAGGCAATGGAGAGGTTGTTAGTGGCCTTGGTAAGAGTCTTGGTGTCTGTCTTCCTTGCTGGACTATAAGCCCTCTGGGACAGGGGGATGGTATTTGTTTGCTCACACTGTACCTCTAGCGCTTACTTAGCTTACTAGCATTGCTTTCTGGCATGTCTGGTTATCTTTGACTATGTGTTCGCCATTGTACTTGGAAAATTTTTTTTGGAAGAATTTTTAAGAGGAATTTTATGCCTCAGATGAAAGCATTTGCTTCTAAAAAGGATTAGCATTTGGCTGCAGTGCTACCATCCTGGGATTGCTTTAAACAAAATTCAGGGTTTGATGTTCCCTGGAATACCCTGGTAGTGTGGATGAGGCTACCAATCCATGATTCAAGGCTGGGTTACCTTTCAGTTCAGTTCAGTTCAGTCACTCAGTCGTATCCAACTATTTGAGACCCCATGGACTGCAGCATGCCGGGCCTCCCTGTCCATCACCAACTCCTGGAGTTTACTCAAACTCGAGTTACCTTTGGTTCACCCTTAATGCAAGGGTGAAGCCCCCTGGAGTCTCAGCTTATTTTGGTGAGGGTCTCCTACTTGATTGCCCACTTTGTACAGGCTGCAGACTTCAGTTTCAAATCCCTTTATGCTGGGAGATACTCAAAAAACAAATTCAAAATTTTCAAGATCGGCAAACGCCCTCAGGACAAAAACAAATTTCTGTGCTCTCGAACTTCTCTGGGTTTCTGTCTTCCCCTCAGTTTTGACCTAATAATTCCTGGTAATTCCTTACAAAGAGCCTGCTTGTCAGCTCTTTGATGATGCTTTAATAAGATGCTTTTTCTATTTTATCCAGTATTCTTAGCTCTTTTCAGCTGAAGGATTGTTCCAAAAAACTAGCCTCCTGTTTCTAAACACAGAAATTGCCCACCCCTGGGACTTGGCAACAGGCACAGGCACATCGTGACAACTCGATGAATATTTGTTGATCGAATGGATGAAGTGAATCCAGCTCTCCGATGTCCCCATTCTTTCTAATGTGTTGGACATCACACTCCCAGCCAAGATATTAATATTACCAGAGTGCTGTGGTCAGAACAGAGGGCTATGCGCTCAGAGGAGGGAAGATCTAAGTGGGATGGGGAGGGGCAGTTAGCAGGGGGTAGGGGACAGAGTGATAGGGAGCATAGAGATGGAAGCACATTTTAGCAGGTGAGGCATTGGACTGGGAAAGGAGGACTCACAGGAAGTGACATTTTAAGTAGAAGCCTGGAGTGAAGTCTGGAAGGTGTAAGGGATCCAGGAGCTAAGAGTGGGCAGTGAGCAGAGAAGCAAGGACCAGTCAGGGAAAAGTTTCGGAGGCCAAGGGAGACTTCTGGCTTCACTGTGAATGTGGAACCCGAGCCCCGGCAGAGTCAGCTCCCTGCAGCCGGCAGGAGGAGGGAGGAGAAACAGCTTTTGTTGAAATGCACACATAGTAATTGCTAAGAAGAGTATTTCCCCTAGTTTAAAAGGCTTTCTCCTCTGCATTTTCCTTGGTCTCAGTTTCAAAGGAATTTTAATTGCAAAGAAAATGTTGTCATCTCCCCCGGGGGGAGAGGGCTCGCGGCTCGGAACAGTCACGTCCCAACGTTGATTCTTCTCCATACTGGGGATTTTCACGGTTTGGCTGCGTGGAAGCTGTCTGGGGATTGGGTGGTGTGGAGGGAGGGGTAGGTATGAGACAGTCCTCCCGGTACCTTTCTGGGCCTGGGAAGGCTGGGTTTGCACCTAGGGAGGTCTCCTGGCCTCGGTCCTGCATGAGGGTCTTGCATGAGGGTCTTTGGTATCAGCCTGGTGACAGTCCTAATTTCTCTCTCCGCAGATGCAGTGGGTTTACTTACTTATATTTATCAAACAGCTGGTCTTTCAGCTTCCACCCTTGATCCACTGTAGACTATTCTCCACATAGCAGCCCATATGGAAAACACTTTGAAAGCGAAAAGTCAAAGTGTCAGTCGCTTAGTCGTGTCCAACTCTGCGTCACCCCATGGACTATAACCTGTCAGGTTCTTCTGTCCGTGCAATTCTCCAGGCAAGAATACTGGCGTGGGTGGCCATGCCCTTCTCCAGGGGAAACGTCCCAACCCAGGGACGGAACCCAGGTCTCCCGCATTGCAGGCAAATTCTTTACTGTCTGAACCACAAGAAAACATTTTGGGAGTTTCTCAAAAAATTAAAGATAAATTTGTTATATGATTCAGCAAGTCCACTCCTAGGTATCAACCCAAGATAAGTGAAAACATACAGCCGCACAAAGGAATACTATTAAGCAATAAAAAGGAACACTCTGCTGATATATGCTATCATATGGAACACATCTCAAAAAATATTATGCTCAGTGAAAGAAGCCAGATGGAAAACACACACACACACACATACTGTATGGTTTTGTTTATGTGAAATGTCCAGAAAAGGCAAATCTCTGGAGACAGAAAACAGATTAGTGGCTGCCTGGGAGTGGTGTTGAGAACGGGGATTGACTGCAGATAGGCACGAAGGATCTTCCTGGGATAAAAAAAAATGTTCTAAAACTGGATAGTGATGTGAGTTGCACAAGTCTGTAATTTACTAAAAATCATCGAATTGTATGCTGACAATGAATGAATTTTATAGTATGTAAATTATACCTCAATAAAGCTGTCAAAAAAAAAGGCTCTCATTTCTCTCAGCATAAAAGCCAGAGTTTCTACAAGACCCTGTGTGGTCTGTGATCACGGCCTGGTTGACTTCATTGTCCCTCCCATCCTGTCCCCCCTTCCCTCTGCTCCAGCCCTGCTGGCCTTCTGGGTTTTCCTTGAACACAGCAGACATGTTCCCATCTGACTGCCTTTGCGCTGGCTGTTCCCTCTGCCTGTAATATTTTTCCCCTAAATATCTGCAGGGCTCCCTCCCTTATCATTTTAATATCTTTGCTCAAATGTCACCTTTTCAGTGCAAAGCAACCCAACCACTCCATCTGAAATTACAGCCCCTGTCCAAGGCTCTCCCAACCACTTTCCCTCCTCTTGGTTTTTCAAAGTGTTTATCACCTTTTCACATATGATTTACTTCTTTATTATGTTTAATGCTTGTTTCTCTCTCGACCCCATCATAGGTGCTTCCCTGAGATCAAAATTCATGTTGGTTTGATTCCCTGATGCACCCTTTCAGCAGAGAACAATACCTGACACAAAAGAGTTCAACAAATATTTGTTAAGTGGAAGAATTAGTAAGTGATGATTCACCAAACATTTTCTGAATGCTCTCTCTGTCAGGAGCTGAGCAGACAGCAGTGAATGGGTGAACAGATCTCACACCCCCAGAGGGCATGCATTTCAGAAAAGTAGAAAGGCCATAGGCAAGAACAAATTTTAAACCAGTAATGGAGGGTGACCCTGAGTTCCATCACCAAGAAATCATGAGTGTGATAAACTTGACAAAAGGCTGGTATGGGTGCAGAATGGGTGGGGAGTATCTTCCTGGGGAGTGACCCGCTGAATAAGTAGGAATTGGCCAGGTTGGGTGGAGGGAAGAGAGTTTCAGGCCCAGGGAACAGCATGTGAGAAGGTCCAGAGCTCAGAGAGGGAGGGTGTTCTGTTTGGAGACATGTAAGATGTTTGTTCCAGTTAAACATGAACCTTAAAGGAAGTGGCATGAGAGATGGAGCTGGTGAGGTGTGCAAGAGTCGGACGGTAAAGGACCTGGGGCGCATCGAAAGATATAATGGTCAGTTCAGCAGGGCACCAACTAATTAGAAAAGACACTGTCCATACACAGATGGGATCCCCTGCTGAATCTCTGCTGTGTGCTAAGCCGTGGGAGAGACTGTGGAGTTAACACGTGTTGGTGATCATGGGAGGCTGTAATCAGGTTTACGGAAGGATCACTTAGGAGCAGAATGGATTGGAGGGAGGTTGGATGGGGGCTTTAAGCCAGTCTTCCTAGGAGAATGGACCATTGCAGGCGATGGATTGGATGTAGGTGGTCAGGAAAGGGAGGGGTCATGGGTAATATCCATAATCACAGCCAGCATTTCTAGGGCAGGTACTGTGCGCCAGGGAAGGCTCTGAGCACCTGGCGGGTCCCAGCTCTTAATCCACGCAGCACACCAGGAACCGGAAACACAGGGAGGT